ATTTTTTGTTTGTTTAAAACTTCTTAATATGTCAGTGCCTGAAAAGTAAAAGCTACAAAAGATGAAGTTTAAAATTTTTTTTAGTATTTATTTATTTTTTATTTTTTTTAATGTTTACTTATTTTTGAGAGGGAGAGACAGAGCATGAGTGGGGGAGGGGCAGAGAGAGAGGGAGACACAGAATCTGAAGCAGGCTCCAGGCTCTGAGCTGTCAGTGCAGAGCCTGACGTGGGGCTCGAACCCACGAACCTGGAGATCATGACCTGAGCTGAAGTCAGATGCTCAACAGACCAAGCCACCCAGGCACCCCAAATGTTTGTTTATTTTTGAGAGAGACAGAGACAGAGTGTGAGCGGGGCAGGGGCAGAGAGAAAGGGAAACAGAATCTAGAGCAGGCTCCAGGCTCTGAGCTGTCAGCACAGAGCCTGACACTGGGCTCGAACTCGCAAACTGCAAGATCATGACCTGAGCCGAAGTTGGACGCTTAACCAGCTGAGCCACCCAGATGCCCCACGAAAGATGAAGGTTTAAATCAATTATTTCATCTGAGCTTCTACAGTGAGAATTTAGATTCGGATTAATATCAATGTTTGCATATATTAATTTTTACATAATTTCAAATAGCATTTTAAGTGTATTTGGTACTTCTCAGAATTTTATTGTTACCTCTGTTCATAATATCTAAACTAAATTTTATCTCTGAAATTGAACCCTTAAACTATTATAGTTCTCCAGATTGTCTACCAACCTAGATTATAGAAGGTATTAGATTTATCTATAGTATCTAAAGTGTATTAATCCTAGATAGATGACTTCTCATTGCCAAACTGAGATGTCAGTTTTAATGAAAACTAGGAAACATTGTGGCATCATCACCAGATATGATAGATCTACCATAAACATTTTTAAAGGTATGTGTGAGGAAACTTTAAAAATAATCCTTTTATTTATGATGATATCAACAGTTTTAGGGACTATATCGATGTACAATAATGTACTATTTATATACATTGGATGCAGAACCAATTGAGCCCCCCAGAAAAGTTGGATGCAGAACAGATTGAGCCCCCAGGTGCCCCAGTAGTATACAATTTGATATCCATGGGTCTCAGTTCTGAGTGCACACCAGAGTTACTTACAAGTTGAGTAAACGACCTCTGTGTGCATAGAACCCAAACCAAAGCTGTGGATTAAAATCTCCTAGGTAAGCTCAGCACTTTTTTTTTCTTTTTCCTTTATTCTTCCTTTTCATCATAGGTAATTCTGAAATGTATCTGGGGTGGAAAACCATTTATTTCTTAGGACTGAGTATGTTTGCTGTAGGAAGATACCTAATTTTTAAAAATTTAGCAGTTTATATACAACAAATGGAACATAGGTTATGTGAGCATTGATTCCAATATAAAAGAAATGGAATTTAGGAATAGTAAGATTGGAAAACATGAGAGTTTCACATTTCTAGTAAAATAATCACTTGATTAGCTGAGAATTAGAACATTTAAAACTTACTAAACACTCTAAGTTGTGTCTGCTCGTTTATTGATGGCATTGATAGCATAAATGGATATTTTTACAAAATTATCATGAATGTCATTCTCACTGTTAGTTGAACACTGTTTTTGATCAGGGGAAAGGAAAGGGTTACTTTGAGTTAAGCACTTTTTTTTTTATTTTCAAGTGTTTATTTTTGAGAGAGAGAGAGAGAGACAGAGTGTGAGCAGGGGAGGGTCAGGGAGACAGGGAGATACAGAATCCGAAGCAGGCTCCAGGCTCCGAGCTGTCAGCACAGAGCCCGACACGGAGCTCGAACCCATGAACCGCGAGATCATGACCTGAGCCAAAGTCTGATGCTTAACCAACTTAGCCACCCCAGCGCCCCTAAGTACTTTTCTGTAAGTGCTGCTTTTATATTCAGTGTATGGGAAGATGATCAATTTTATTTGGGTCCTTGAATTTTAGGTTTGGTTACTCCTCCTAACTAGCTGTGTGAACTCTTCTTCTCTTTAAGATAATACATGTGGTTTCTTCCAGGTGTGGAATTCAGTGGGCTTTGATTCTAGGATTAATTGATTTCTAAGCTTGAGAAAGTGGATTCATTGCAAAGGATGTTATTTTAAATACAGACACACACACACACACACACTTTAACAACTCTGTTCTATTCTGTCATACAAACATGCCATAATTTAGTTAGCCAGTCTCCTCATGGTAGATGCTCTGGTTGTTTTCTACTACAATGAGTTGGGTTATTGAGGTTATTAAGTCAAAAGTGATATATTTTAAATGACTGTTGTTGCAAATAACTCTCTAGAAATACTTGCCAGTTAATACTTCTGTCAGCAGTCCTTGAGAAAGCTTTTTATGCTCATACTCACCAGCTCTGGGAATCACCAAGATGGAACATTTTTGGCAGGTTGAAAGAATTGCATCTTGTGTTCTTAATTTGTAGGGTTTTTTTTAGTTATAGGTGAAATTGATTATCATTTTATATTTTACTAATCATTTATATTTAGTTTCTTATTTATGAGCAATTTATATCTATTTTTCATCTTTCTATTGGGCTTTTAATCTTCTTATGTTGATATATGATATTTGGATAAATTAAAGAACAGAGTACATTGTGACATATATAATAACTGTGTTTTTCAAGTTTCTCATGGATCTTCCTCCTTTTCTGTGGTAACATTTGCCACTGTGAAGTTTTAAATGTTCATGTAGTCAGGGGCGCCCAGATGGCTCAGTCAGTTAAGTGTCCGACTTCAGCTCAGGTCATGATCTCATGGTTCATGAGTTCAAGCCCCACCTCAGGCTCTGTGCTGACAGCTCAGAGCCTGGAGCCTGCTTTGAATTCTGTGTCTCCCTCTCTTTCCGCCCCTTCCCCACTCACGCTCTGTCTCTCCCTCTCAAAAACAAATAGACATTAAAAAAATTTTTTTTCAATGTTCCTGTAGTCAAATTGAACAGTCTTTTATGAGTTTTGAATTTGGTATCTTGCCTACCATGGTTTCCTACTCTGAGATTACATATACATTCACTCCTGCATTGTTCTGGAACTTTTATTCAGTTTTACACGTTTGTATTTTTTATCTATCTGGCATCTGTTGTCTTGTTAGTAAGGGATTCACAGACTTAAAAAGGTCTAGCTGGCAAATTTGATGTAATAGTGAAATATATATAGCCTTTCAGTATATCCTTTCATCCTAAAAAATAAAATACATGTAATACTTAAAAGACACATAGCTGATCCTTAGTGACCCTGCCTGAAAGACCCATGGCTCTTTCACACGGTGGCTGGTAAAGATGGCTCCGACCACCATATAAAACGTCTTCGAGAGATAGTGTAATTATTTGAGAGAAAAAAATGATACTTAGACATGCATTTGATGGAGAGATATTTTATAAACCAGGTGTATTTCTAATAGGACATTGAATTTGTTTAAACAGACTTAAAAAATATATTTTTTTAATGTTTATTCCTTTTTGAGAGAGAGAGAGAGAGAGAACAAACAGGGTGGGGGGGTGGGGATAGTGAGAGAGGGAGACGCAGAATCCGAAG